AAAAGAGTTTTTTCTCGTTCTCTCTCTCTCTCTCTTTCTCTCTCATTAGTACATATTATCTATTTAGCGGTGAGTTTAAATGATTATTTTATGACTAAACTAGATAATGCAAGAGAGATTTACAAATTGTGTTTTTATAGAACATTTCAAATCAACTTTATAAATAAGATTTATTTATAAAAATAATTCAATATGGTAGATATTTAACAACGAAGAATAATTAATTCTAGAAAACTATCGGATACAATTTATTTTTATTTATCTATATTTTTTTTCATCCATTTCGATTAGATGGTAAAAGAAAATAATTTTTTTTTTTTTTAAGAAATTATCGATAAAAATTGTAAAGATAAATGACAGATGGGACAATTGATGTTTTTTTATTTTTTCCTTAAAATTTTTTCTAGATTGGTTCAGATGCCAATGCGTATTAAATCTCTTAATTATAGACTGTTTTATTTTTTATCTCTCTTTAGATTTTTTTTTATTGTTTAACAGCACGTCTATTTTTCTTTTTTTATTTGATAAAATACAATCTTTTGCGTTTGAATATGAACGCATATTCAACTAACGATATTTACTATTTTTAAAATTATTTAGTAATTAAATAAAATGTCATTCATATGATTGTATGAGAAAGAAGAAAAAATAAATGACGATGTATATACATAAAGCGCATCAATAATTTATCTATATCTCGAATTTTATTGTTATTGTTAAATATAAGTATCATCTGATATCACTGATATCAAATAAATTTTTGTTATCAGTATTATTTGATCATATTACATGGATGAGACATTATTAGTAATTTCATCATCAACACTGTCGTCACGATCACTAACAACAACAACAACAGCAACAGTTAACAATAGTGTTGTATCATCACTATTATCAAACGAAAGCTCAACAGAGGGTACTTTAGCTGATGTTTGTAATAACTTTCATGTAAGTAAAACAAAAAAAACGTTTTAATTTAGATAAAAACAATAATTCTCTTGTGAAAACAGAGGTTATCACTCATTATTTTAGCTTGACATAGCAATAATAACTATATTTGTTGACACTACTTAACCCACATATACAGACATCCACTATATTATTGTCCTGTCTGTCAAAGTCTATCTGTTCGTATATAAATAAATATTTTATCTATCTCAAAAATTTCTTCTAAATTCAAAAGTTTAAAATTGATGATATTTCGTTTTTCGTCAAGAATTTTAAATGGTTCATTACTCTATAACTATTTATACATATTTATATTTCATAAAAAAGTAAAGAAGATACTGTTGATCGATATCCATTCTTACATGTTAATTAAATAATATCATGATGAATTAACGCATTTGACTGTGAAATATTGTTTTTTTCAGTTTTATACAGGAACAGATAGAAGGAAGAAAATAAACGGAGATGAGTTAAAGCAAGAATAACGTTTTCTTGAGATTAACAACCAACACACTACTCAAAAAAAAACAACAACGAAAAATCAGCAATCATAGTTTTAGCAAGGAGAGAAACTACTTCTAATGTAATCATTGTTCATACCATCCACAGATCTATTCTAAATATAGAATCATCCTTCTTTTTTGCATGTGAAAGTTTACTTGTTCTCAGATGCTTTTTTCATTACAAGATCCTTAAGTTAAGTTGTTTTCTGTATTATTATTATTATTATGTTTCAATCATTGGAACAAGTCTTCATTGCTCATTAGTTCCAACAAGCGTTACTAATTTAATTGATTGAAGTCTACATTGTTTTTTTTTCTCGACAAATGAGTGGCCTTGCATTGTATTAAAATATTTTTATTGTAATTTGTTCTATCTAGGCCCAAGTAGAGTTCTACGATCGCACTTATTTTTTCCGTTTTCTTATGTTTTCTTTTTCTTCTCAATTCTTCAAAATAAAAAAATATGACTTCGTTGAATTTTAGATTAGCTATAGAAAAACAAGAAACATAATCGCTTTTAAAAAGAAAGTTAATCTTTAAAATTGTTTTGATACTTTACATAAACTGTCTTTTCTTTTAAAACAAATTAGTCGAGTTTTTTAATTTTTGTTGTTGTTGTTGATAAATATGACCATTTGTTCAATACTATTCAACTTTCTCGATTAAATAAGTAGTCGTTCAGTATGATTATTATTATTATTATTATGAAAAAACAAATTTAACGGTAAGACTTTTATTGTCTCTCATAATTAGAATAATATGTTTAACTTGAATATTATAATTTAAATTGATAAAATAATAAAAATGAATTTTTCTCGAACATATTTACTTAAAACTATTATTAAGTGAATATTTTTCTTCTTAATAGTTAATATTTGAAAATTTTTATATTTATTGTTTTAGCTCATTGTTTTTTTATGCATTATATTCGTTCTTATTGTATCCAGCAACATATCTGTTATAATTCAACTTGGATGTTCAAAAAAACGTCACAGTCGAATGAGTTTTTTTCTTCTAAATCTTGCTTATGCAGGTATGTACAAAAATTTCTTTTTTTTGCTTCTTAGATAATGCGTTAGCTGACAACATCTATCCTTAATTTATTGAAAAACGGAAATAAAAAACTTGTTTACATATCCGCCCTTTTTATTCTACTAAACAAGAAAAACCACAGACAAACAATCCTTGACTCGAATTTTTTACATTTGTATTTTCTCAAAAAATAAAAAAATCAATCTCTAGAAAACATCGTTTATTAATTTGATTACAAAAAAAAAAAATTATACGACTCTTAATATCGCCAATGAAAGCTGATTAAGCAAAAGAAAAAGGAAGGATATTTCGATTTTAAATGTCACTCCTTTAAATATTTTTTTTTTTATGCATGAGAGACGAGAAAGTTCGATAAAATATTCACAAGACAAAATAGAAAATTACACAAACTCAATAACACATGAACACATCGTTCATATAAATTCAGTTAAGCGAGATAATATCGTGAGAAAAACAAAACAATAAAAAAACAGAAAAAAACAGATATTCATTATCATTCAAGATTCTATCCACTTGTACTGATCTTACCGTGTTGTTGATAATTTTAATTATTCAAGTAACTCTTTCTTAATTAGGAAAGAGAAATAAGATAAAAAACTTTAGACTAAATGACTACGGCTGGCATATAAACGGCCACTTATTCATCTTATAAGGTCCAATGTATTCATCACGCACTTCGAAAATACTGTGTTCGAACCTTGGCCCCGGCAAAGCCATGTAATAACCTTGGACAAGTTACTTATGTCTTAGTGCCTCGGGTCATCCGTCCAATAGCATACTCGCTACCCCAAGCAAATATCACCTATGGGAAAAATCTAGATACATTTCGTCTATAATCGGGCGATACACGACTAGTTGTCATCTAGATTACTAGTTGGAAAAGGGACTTTTAACTAGATGCTTCTTCAGGTACATCTAGTAATAATTAAATCGATCAATTATCGAGCGATAAATCGATAGTTGCAACTAGAAAAAATCTAGTAATCGCCCAATTACTAGATTTCCATTGTCGTTACACAATAGTTGTGATCGAGTAAAAATCTAGTAATCTAGATGAATCGGGCAACACTAGATTTTTTTTTGACGCTTCGGACGTTCTGTCGTACAATAAACTTATCCGCGGTTGTTTTCCGCTAGCCGTCAAAGATAGCCATCATGAGTTACTTTCTACGTCTTTTCATGTAGAAAGTGGCTCCTGACGGCTATCTTTGACGGCTAGTGGAAAACAACCCTTATCCACCTAATCTTCGTGATTTTCCAGAAAGCTAATATGTGGTTAGTGAGTGTGTATGGTGTGGGGAACTCAAATAATTGGGGAAAAGAACTCTCCATTAGCCTATGCTTCTGGCCGGAGCTGCAGCTGATAACTAGTGACAAGATGGGTGATTTTCCGACGCTTCTCAACTGCAGGAAAGATATTGATCTAATGAAACTGCCATTCGGCAGTACCCTATACCGGTAACGATAGCCTCAAGGCGGAGTATTCTTTCTTCCTTCCTTCCCTGTGACTAGTAGATGTGTATGGGAAGCTCAAACAGTTGGACGAACGAACTCCACGTAAGATTAGTTTCCTGGCTAGAACTGGGGTCTATGACTAGTAACGATATGGATAACAATGTCAGCAAGTTATCAACTATAGAAAGATAGCAAGATATTGACAGTGATACTTGTTAAAACTCTACACTGATAACAGTAACTACAAGACAGAATAGTCTTTGTTCTGTTTGATGAGAAAATCCTAAGGGACAGTCAATCAGAAAACCGACATGAAATGTCAAAACCTTTGAGCCGCAAAATATTTTGATTTGTTAATGGATCATTCAAATCTAAATTGTATAGAATATAGAAATCTTTGTCATAATCAGTATCTTGATGAATCGTCTTTTAATCGTCAGAATATAAAATAGATTACATCCAGTCCCTTGTGCACATCGAAAATTACTATTTGTTCATAAATGACTAAACATATAAACTGAAGACTTTACTATAAAGTAAAAATTTATCTCAGAATGTTGTCAAAACTTGTCAAAAGTTGAAACGAAGTTCATTAGCCTTACAAAATAATGTGATGAAATAGGAAAATTAAAATTATGACACATAAACAGAAATTATCTTGAGAAAGAAAAGTAACTTTAACAAACTGTTGCTTCACAACCTAATAGTTTGTGACTAGATATAAAATTATATTATTTAGATTTATTAGTTGGTCTATTGCTCGTCACAAGAGATATAATTGAAAAAAGTTGTATCCCTTTTATTCTTGGCGGTATTGGATGTCGTATAATTAGTTTCATACAGGTAGTTATATTGTCATTTAAAGAAGACTTTTTACATAATAATTCCTCTATTTCTAGGTGACAATTGCTTATAATTCAAGGTTCGTTAAATAAAAATTTTCTCACTCTCTAATTTATCGACTTTTTTTTTAATCTTCTTTAAACTAGCTACGTACTCGTTTGTGTTTCCATTGATCGATTATATGCAATTGTCCGACCGATGGATTTACGTACAGCATCATCAGGTATTGAATGTTAACTACGAGTCAATCAATAATGTCTCTGATTATTACTAATAAGTTTTCTTTTTATTTAATTTTTCTTCTAGCATTTCGGTATACATTGATTTTGGGTAAGTAAAAAGATATTTTTTTATTATTTTAAAACATTTTTTTATGTGATTTTAGCATCATGGATAATATCAATAACTTTTGCTTCTAGTCAATTATTTTTGAGAGATACTGACATAATTCGAGGAATGCGTGTATGCGGAAATCGATCGGATGTCAGAAATTGGAATGTATGTTTTAATAAGACAGAAATTCACATATTATTGTCATTTTAACTCTCATTTTTACTTTTAAGATTTATGTATATTTTCTTTTTATAACTGTATATCTGGCACCATTAATTATCATAACTATTTGTTATATAATCATTATTGATATCATATGGAAGAAGAGTAGTTTAAAAAAGAATCATGTTGAAAAAGAACAATCAAAAATTATGGCATTTATGTCATTCAAACGTTCAGTGTCTGGTATGTAAATATACACAGAGCACCTAATATACATAAATTTATCACATCTTTTGTTTTCTTCGTCTTCTTCAGAAGATAAGCACATTGAAAACTCTATTCGCAATGCAGGATCATTAGGAGTAATTCCACGAGCAAAAATTAAAACAGTTAAAATGACACTGGTCATTGTAATAGGTAACTAAAACTAAATTTTACATCAGTTTTGTTAATTAACTATTTTTAGCATTCACGGCCTGTTGGTCTCCTTGTTTTTTATTAATGATTATGGGTACATTAAACATGATACGAGATCACAGAGTTATACGTGTAACAAGCAGCATGTGTTACTTGAATTCGTTAGCAAATCCGTTGATTTACTGGTTATTTGCAACAAATTTTTGTTTAAGATACAGGTAGGTTTTCCTCCAAATATTACTTATAAATGAAAAACTGATCCCTTGAAATCAGTTAGCGATTTAGAGTACAATAAGCTATTTATAAATTTAATTTCAAAAAATATATATCATGCCCAAAAATTGCGATGTAAAATTGATAGACAGAGGGGTGTGATATCAACATGCTGTTTTTGTAATCGCTCAGCAAACTTTTTACATTTATAGAAATCGTTTTCGATCCCCTGATGTCAAAAGTACGCTTGTATGTACATAAGAAAGGAGGGTTCGGCAAGTATTATGTAAGTTTAATAGGACGTTCATAGTGTCGTTTTACATTCTTCAATACCTACGATCATTTTTCCTCAATCAGGTGCTTTAATGAAGACCTGTTTAAGGAATTTTGATTCTAGAAAAAGTAGTCAGATTGTAGTAGTTTTGTGTTTTGTGTGTATATGACTTGTTGTTTTCTTTTACAAGACAGTATACCGAACAATGAAAAGATTATTATTTTCGAAATTAAAACTAAAAATGTCATGAAAAATCTTGGAAACAAGAATACAAGAAATGGGCTAATTACTAGTGGCAATATGTACAAATCATTTTTTTTGAATTTTTAGACAAAATTTAACTAGAAACAAGCGTCGACCATCGTTTACATCTTCAGTAAATAAGCATAGTTTTGGTTCACGACGACAAACAAGTGAACATCTGCGACACGATTTATCTGCGACAACACGAGTTATTCATACAAATTCAAAATCATCGTACAATCATAGTCTATGATAATCGATTACTAATCTCATTGACATAACTATTTAGTAAAGAATAAATCTTTGGTATTAAAGCTCACGTTGCTTCCAGTGATCTTCTTTCTTTTGCTCAGCTATTTCGTTTTTCTGCTAGTTTTTATGATATTATATGTAAGTGAAATGTGTAATAAAATTAACAAAATTTAATAAACAATAATTCAAAAAAATGTTGTATCTTCAGAAAAAGCTCCTGCTATCCGCACCTCGTCTTGAGTCAACATAGCGTACATACGTTGGGGACTTTGTCGAGATCTTCCATTTACTGGACGTGATGTGGATGCTCGTAGAATGTATTCTTTTCCCGCTGGTGGTGAGGGAAATTTATTTTTGATATTGATATTTGGTGTTGACGTTGTAGAAGTTGTGGTCTAAACACAATTTCATACTCAAATTATTTTTAAAACACTACTATACCAAAAGATCAATGAACGTTACCTGACTAGATGATGAATTAACTTGTGATTGAAACATTTTAACAATGGTTTTTCCGAGACAACTTTTCGGACCACCAATAACGGGTACTTCGGGTTTTGTATGTAATTCAGAGATAAAACGCGTCATTTCGATCTTGATAAGAGCGAAAAAAATAGTACTATTCAAACAGTAGATCTCATACCTTTTCATGTGCATTTAAATCCGAAGTAAAAAATTTTTGTTGAAATGATTGAAATCGGCATATGTGCCGCTCAATTAACGATAGACATTGTATAAATTCCTGAAAAATAGTATCAATTCGCATTTATTGCCTATTCAGTCAACTTTTCGCTCACCTGTTGAAGTTTCTTTCTCTTATCGTCTTTTCCTTTCACTATTCGAACTGCTTTTTCGTATACAGTCTCGAGTAACGGAGATGCATTTTCTTCACCCATATCTTCAGCTAAAAGATATATTATATGATGATTATTTACTTATAAAGCTAAAAATATGACATATATACCATTACTAGCCACTCGGTCATATGTTGCATGCAACAGTATAGGTATCAACTGTTCTAAAAGTTCTCCAGGCGATAATGCCGATAAGTTTTGTAATATCTAAATAGTCAAATACTGCTGTCATGTTAACATAATCAATATCGTATCAATGAAACACAAACTTTTTCTGCTTCTTTAACATCATCAAATAAACGTTTTTGTTTTCGTACAGGAACACATTTTGCTTGTGACCACACTTCTAACCAAAGATTTCCTGGTAATTGCATTCTTGGACTTAATTGTGCTTTTTTATGAACAACATTATCACTACCGATTTCTTCCATTTCAATCCAATCCCGAGGTGAATACCAACGTACAAAATCCTCGAGACAACATGATGGATTAGCAGCCTTAAATAGAATTGTACAATTCAACTAATTTATCTAAAGCATAAATTTATTGTTATACCTTAAAAGATTCCATATCGGACAATAGTGATCGACTTTGCATTTTTGCCCGTTGGAGTGTTGCTTCTTCACCAGAGCCAAGATTCGACAATATTGCTGTTTGTTCATCGAGGATATCTTCCGTTGCTGGTGCTCCTTCCTAAAAATAGCATACCAAGTAAATCAATCTTACATTGACTACTAAATCATCTACAATCTATGTATGTTAAAAACAAACCTGAGTTATAGGTATATACAATATTTCATCAGACTTTAATAACTTAAGATCACCAAATGGTTTTAATCTTCCTTCCGGTTGAATGACTAGCTCATCTGAATTTACTTTTGATAATGATAAATTCTGTATCGATGATGCATCACATTCATAAAACTCCTCTTCTCCACTGTCATCACTATTCGCTCCCACTTGTTGTGCTCGTTCCGATTGCTGTTGTTGATGACGAAGACGATATTCTGTACAACAATTTAACATTTGTAAATTTTGATAGAATTTTGATAATGATAAATTGGGTGAGCCTGGTTCTAAACTAAGAAAGAAAAACGAAAGACTTAAAAATATTAATGTTTAATGAAGAATTTTACCATGGAATCAGTTTTCCATTTTCCCATCTCGAACGTAATTCTTGTAATACATCAAACCAAATATGTGCAATTGAGCGTAAATGATTATACGATGGTGAACTACATATACAGGCAAAACAGACAACTAATCGATAAACAAAACTGTCTGGAGGTGCAGATTTTAATTGTCGCAAACGTTCAGTTATCTTAAAGATATAAAATGCATTTCATACGAATAAACTGGTCAATCTGTATTTACTTTTGGATTTTCGTCAACTGACGAATTCTGCCTTTTTAGAGTTGGTTCACTAAATAAATACTAAAATAAAAATTAAATAAACGTAGAAAACTAGGTACTGAGAATCTCTGCAATAATGCAGTTACTTCAATTATTTTTTCGACTAATATTTGTGGTAACGGTGGATCGAAAATTGTTACTCTCAACTTTTTTGTTGTATTAACAAATGAAGATGATATCGAAGTCCAATATTGAGCACCAATACTATCTGTTATCGAGCGTAATGGATCCGCTGCAAACATAAATGAGACAGAGGACGAATTGATGAAGTTCTCAAATGTATAATCTTCTATAGTGTGATAGACATACCCTCAGTTTGTTGAATTTTTCCGAGTAATTGTTCAATTGTTTCTCGCCTTGTTGACAATTGAATGTATTCTTTGACACATTCACTTAACAATACAGGCAAATCATCGATAAGTGTTACACCAACAGCCCATTGTTGACTTTGTAACGGATCAAAATCATTGTAATCATCACTTTCTGTCACTATATCTTCAGAGAATATTGGCCATCCGCAAGATAAATGAAGTCCGCTAAACAAATCCAGATGAAATTGAATAAATGAAATCATGACAAGAAAAATGGTCTCTGTTTTACCTTACAGGATCATACAGAGCACCGAATGGAAGAGTATTCAAAACTGGCAAACCATTTTCATCTTTTGATAAACTATTATTCCCAGTTTGATAATGTTCAAATTCTTTGAGTACATAAGTAAATCTTACTGCAACCATAATCACTGTATCTGTCGTTACATGTTGACCCTAAAAATGAAGTGAAAAGTATGTTGTAACTGTCATTGTGGCATTTTCTTACTAATTTCGATTTAAAGATCTCCAATAAACCGGACAAGTTTCTAAATGAACAAAATTAATGAAGAATACATTGAGAAAATATATTCAGCTAATTACAATTGTACCTGAACTGTTGTGGAACATTTTTTAAATGACAAATGTTAAAGTGCGTTCTCAAGCCACCGCCCTCACAAATTCCAACAAACAAATTACGCCATTCATGTTGAACCCTAATGAATATGGGTACATTGCTGGAATAGAAAATGCACACATTTTAAAATACTTAGATTAATTTAAACTTTATTCATTCAAGGAAGAAGAATAAGACTAGTCATTTTACACAGATGTGGCCTAGGCCATTATATCAGAGAAAAATAACATGGTAAATGATATAAACTATTACAGGTGAAAAGCACGAAAACTACTTCTATAATATATCTCAAGAAAACATACCATCCCACATTAGCCACGGCAACAGCTGCTGAACTAAGTAATAAATTTGCACGATCCTCGTCTGCAACGGCATCATTATTTCGTTTAGGCGATATTACAATAAATTCACGTAGTCCATACCAATGCGATAGATATCTAAGTAAAAAAAACTCTAACATACTTGGCTACATCGATAAGTGAAAGTAAATACAACACTCACGGTGAACGCGACGGAAAATCATTGCGACAAGACATCATATCAGCCATCGCACGAGGTGGTACAACTAAAATACATTTACATATTTTGGTATGTGAATAGAGAAGCACAGTTCTTAATGGGTATATTCTATGATTTCATTCTGAAACATGAGATTATTTATGCTTAATACCATTCTATCAACTACAATCAGGTTTTTTCACGAAAAATATGCATGCCACACGGTTGCTACGGAAAATGTTGCTGCAAAATGCAGTTACACGTATGATAAATAAATTATGAAACTTGAAAAATCTGTGCTTGCCATTCAAACGAAATTTCTCACTCACGTTCGAACATAACATTTTCATCATTAGTCTTCAACACTAAACGAAAATTATTTATCTTTAACAATTTCTTCCTTTTTTTTACTACTCTTATGTTTAAAGTATTGAAAAGTTCAAAGTATAAACTGCAATTTCAATTACACGTTTGTTTTTCAAAAGAGGTGGACATCGATGTTGACATGGACATTTGACTGGATTTTAAAGTATTATCATTGTTATCGCTGTTTACTAATTGATCGGAAATTTGCAAAGAAAAATGAGATATTGAATATGAATGTTCACCAAATTGTAAAACATCAATTTTTTCTGCCCATTCACCATTGGCAAAATCGACCTATTTGCAAAAAATAGAACAAGTGAGAAAATATTAACAAAAATGACGTGAAATAATAACACACACTTCTGTATTTGATATTTCTGGCCCATTTAATTTCCACTCTGTTAATATTTCTTCGATACGAGATATAAAGCTGATTAAAAAAACAAATAAAACAAAATCTTGTTATGCACTTTCTATTTACTGTGTTTTTCTTACCGTTCCCAATCGCTTGCTGTTGTATAATCGACTATTTCAAAAATTTCTTCTTCCTGAAATCAGACAACAAACCATATAATCTTTCTCAGTATAAAAAATTTCTATTTTATACCGAAGTTGTCATTTGATTATATCAGTTAGAAAATAGAAGATCTAAAACAAATCGCATAATATAGTCTCATTTTAAATTACATGGGATATTTTATTTTGAAGCAAAACCGAATAAAAAATGAAAACAGGAAAAAAGATGTCTTTATTCTAAACAAATTAAACAAATAAATAGAAAAACAGAAGCGATAAAAACACCAAAATCTTAATCTTCATTTCAGTATACTTCTAAAATATCTTCTTTCAACTGTCTGGAATACAACCACGAATAACCAAACCATTTCCACTAAAAGAACAACATTAGGAAGAGCAGGTAAACATCGATCGACTCGCTCAATCCGTATACTTATGGCAGAATTTTATATCTTGAACGATTTCGATCCTATTCCGCCAGATAACTGATCGTTATTTTACATCAAATGGGATCTAAATCCAACGTTGAGAAACAATAAATACGAAAGCGTATTTCTCCTGTTAATATAATCTTTATGGCAACAAATACTCAATTCTCGCGTTCGCATCATAACTATGATTAACTGACTGAAACAGAAAATTACACTATTGTTAAACAAACAGTTGGATATTCAGATACTTACAGCAACGCTCCAACTGAATTAAACTATTTCCTTCAGTTAATAAGAACACTGCTCGTCAAGCAGAAACACTCAAAAGAGCATTAGAAAAGCGAATCAGTTTAATAACAGTGAGGACCTTCATTGATTCTTGTATAAATGGCATAAAATCATTTATGAAATTTCATCCCATTGCAATTCATGTTCTTAGATATGCTTACAATTCGTAACCATGCAGTTAATAACCTACAAATACAAAAGACAGTACTTAGTTTAAAACTCACTCAGTACCCTATTGCTCTTCAACAAGATGTCATATCTAAATTTTTCTTACTTTGCTGTAATTTCTTGTTTAATTCTATAAAGTCCACGCAGTAGTAAAAAGTCATTTGAGGCTAAAGACCATTTTAAATCCATAAATTTTCGAATAATCATCAATTAATATTTATCAAGGAATTCACAAGTGTTTTACTTGCAGACGCACATAAACAATTATGTATCTTTGTTCAAAAGCAGGCGAAAAAAAAATTCTTTTGTTTGTGTATTTGTGGTCATATTCATTTGTGATCATATTTTTACATAAATCATGATAGCTTTTGCGTGTTTGTTTTTATAACAAGCTAACGAACACTACAATACCTACAGATAAAAATCATCCTATGAGATACATAAGAAAATTAGAACAATAAACAATTCACTTACACTACATTTGTCATAATAGACAACGGTTTATCAACATTTTTATCTGGGTCATTTTCTCACTATAAAATATTTATGAATTAGTCTTGGCATAAATGTCGAACGCTGTTTTTACACGATTCGAGCGGATGTAAATAACTCTTACACACCTAAACGAATAGAACACTACAAATGAAATTATTTCTCACGCTAAATGGGCATTGGTTATTTGAATGATATAGTCTATTTCTTTAAATGAAAAACAAAAACTTACTGAATAATTGTGTTATTTATTCAATTGACTCTGTAAGCATACTGATGATTTTTCTTGAAAAATACGCTCATTCGTCTATAGAGAAGTTTTGTAACCATAGACAGAGACATGGTACAATTAGAACTGTTCATAAATAAAACATCAACGTATTTTTTGCTCATCCCAAAAGTACCATAGAAAGAGCCATTATTGTTGGCCATACCAGCCATACAACCAGACGAATCATTGGTATGACTATCTATTAACAAGGTCAAAGAAAAATAAGTTCAAATTGATCCAACATGCACATATTTTATGTAGTGAAAAGTCATAACAGTTGATTAGAAATTTGCAAAAAGCCTGTCTATTTTACTCCATTAGATTACAGATGTCAACAAACAACTCACTTATTAAGTTCGCACCTTTCAGCTTAATTACTTGCAAAGATTTTAAATAGAGAATTCAAGTGGGAAGCATTTGTGTGTTTGAATTAGCATGTACAAACAAGATACTGTAAACCACCACACGTATTTATTTTTTAGTAAATAGTAATTAATACTAGTGAAAAAGTAAAACAGTTTGTTATGAATAGAAACGTTGAGGAAAAAACAACAAAAATCGTACAAAAAATAGACAACATGTAATAAATAAATGCATAAAAATTGCATGGGTTCGTTAAAATCCATCTTACCACTAATAGAAAGTGGAATGAAATGTCGTGAAAATGGAATCCATACAACAAACAACTAGAGATAACAAAAAACCATCTCCAAAAAAAAGAAATAATTGCTGTTTGACTTATTGCACTAAATATAACAAGAAACACTTTTGTTTTGATTATGGAATAAAAATGAATTACGATGACTAGAATCAAACATCGTTTCATAGAAGTGGAAAAATTATGTCACAATTATTACAAGAATAGTAAAGTACAAAAAAACACTGTTAACAATATATGAGCATGAACATAAAAAAGTGATTTAGATATCTAAAAATTAGATAGTTCATGCATAACAGAAATGAAAACATTCATTCATAGTTTATAATTTTCTTTCAATTCAACAGCTTTTGCAATAACCGTGTGCACATCTGTATCTTGAGGATAATTCTAAATAATCAAATGTTATGCAAGAAACAATTATGAAGCTTTTTTGATCATACGCGATTAATTATACATCATGTACGAGCACAATTTTCTTTCAAAACTTTTTCTTACTTGTAGCAATTTGATATTTACTGAGAAATTTCCATTCAGTAGTCGATTTCTTTGCAAACTAAACAAACTAGAATGAATAGCTAAGAGATCTGATTGTTATTGTAGATAAACTTACATGATCATCGCACAACAAATGTATAGTATAAAGTCAAAATTCTGTTCATTATCAGCAAATAACGAGTCCCACAAACGCATAACGTCCGGTAAATTGAACTCTTGGGATAAAAGTAATGTAAGCCAACGAAATGCATAAAATTCTGGTTTCAGTTTTAATCGTTCGAATAAATTATGAATAATACTATCGGTTCGTTTCAATAAATGTAGAAATCGTTGCATTCGAACCACAATTCCATAAGCCGTATTGTCCAAAACTTTGATAAAATTATCGCGTATATGAACCATTAAATTTGTGAAGCAATAAAAGCAATCGGCTTCAGCATGTTCTAATAAGAATTACAAAAAAGATAAATGAACGTAAAGTGGAGATGGAGGTGGAACAATACCTCTCCATTCAACATGTGGATCTGTGGCAAATGTATAATAAAGTGGACCAATAATCTCGTTCATTCCCTATTAACAGTAAAAATAAAAGGAATTATTTTATTTAACTAAAAAAGTAGCTGCTTGTTGTCACTTACCTGAACGTAACCTTGACCAACATTCAATTTACAATAAACAAACAATATTCTTTCAACAACCTCCCAATGTGCTTCATGTCCATCAGGTAATAATTGATATTCACCATAGTCATCACCATTACTGTTCCCATATAATGATTCATTCGATTTCAATTCAACAGTGCCAAAACGTTTCTGTAACTGAGATTCAACTTTTAATGTAGTTGATACAATACGTTTCCTGAGGAAAGCAGTGTAATTAATTTCATGCTTATGAGACAGAGTGAGATACATACCGTAAGCTTTCAAATCCTGGCTCTTGATTTAAAATTTCTTTACAGGGATAATCTGTTTCACGTTGAAAAAAACATAAATCAGGGCTTAAACGCCTTAAACAGATTAGAAATCATATAGATGAGGAAAATTTATATAATATTTCTATTTTATCTCACCGAACATCTTTGTCAATTTGTAGTAACACTTCATTTTCCTTAAAATAGGCTGCCCATGAACTATCTGGTCCCGAATTAAGTGGCTAAAAAAACACGTAGTAATAAGAGACTACTGGCGCTGCACATGATATTTGAAACCTACGTGATCAACAACTTCTAATGGAGTTGGTGATGTTTGAAGGCCAGGTTTTATTATTGTTTCTTTAATATACCCACGATAAAGTTCTCTGTGAATCAAAAGAGACAAAACTGACGGACTGTAATGAATGCCGGTCAAGTTCCTTTTTCAGAATACCTTTGTTTACTCAAATGTATGTCCCATTTCGTACGATCAAGTAATAAATAATTCAGTAAGATTTTCCATGTCTTCGATCGAATCCCGTTTTCTGATGGACAACCTATGGAAAAAAAAGATGAACTCTGTTATTTGTTATATTATTCATTATCAGACTAACCCATAAATGCCAGATGCTTCAATTTTACTAAATCAATTTTATCACATTTCAATACTGATTCAAAATCTTCGATTCTTAAATATAAGAAATCCATACAAATCAACGAATTAGCTTAATGTTTCCTTATGTTACTTACTTTTTCTGATAAGAAGCCATAGTAAATGGGGAGAAAAAAAATCTAAAATAAAACCTAGTCGGTTCTTTACATCAGGTATCGACTGCACTGAGAGAAAAATACGATATGAAAGCAAAAGTAATAGTGATGATTCAGTATTCTACAGAAGAACTACGTACTACTCAAACGACCTATATGTGCTGTAAAATTCACTGCAATTTTCAAAACAGGATTGGGTACAGGTCTCTCCTTCGTTGATATAGACAATCAATCAAATTTTCATTCCATTCTTCTATAAAGGTAAACCGTTTGTAAAAACGAGAAATAATTGTACTTATCGGATCATTTCTTCACGTTATTTTGAAACAGAAGCTTGTTTTGTCTACAATGGCAAAAAAACACCCTTGAAGCGTGTTATGAAGTTGTCTACAAACGGAAAGTTAGGTGTAGGTCGCTAGTATCGATGTGAGCGTGACCTGATTGAAGATAGCAGAAGCTGAAGGTATGAAGGCGTTGCGAAGAAAAAAATAGGGTATATCTTAAATGTGTGGGAACTGAGAATAAGTGAGAATAATTATGTAAAAACTATCTTCAGCCCTATTTTTCCTATTCTTCGCTTTTAGCTAAATAATATTTTTATAATTTCGTTTTTCTCTTTCAACAAAAAGCAATACAACAACGAAATAAGAAAACGTTCTAATGATGTCGACTGTCATAAGAATATTGACCTAACACATAGAAAATCATATACATACAACAACTATTGTGATTATTATTATTATTCAGTGCAACGAAAAAGAAATCATCGAGAAGTATACTATGGAACAACTTCATATTGTACTACTACTACTACTACTAGAATAACACAAATCAAAGTGACAACATTGAATTTCGTAAAAAACAAAAAACTGTTCACTGAAGGAATTATATACAAAAATAAATTGTCTGAACAAATGATTTATGGGTCGACGCAGAAGAGAACGCCCTTTCTGAATCTAATTTCATTTCGGCAGCAATACCTCAAGAACACATAATCGAGTGGTAAACGAGTAGTACTCGACGAGTACTCGATAAGTCCCTTATGGACATCGCTGCCAAAATCTCAAAATAAATGTTACAGAGCTGTCCAACCTCTCATTTTTTAGGGAAATGTTTATTCTACATTCTTACGCAGTCAGAAAAGTTTTAACGAAGCAATTTACGAAACGCCAGGTTTTGAACAAAATATAAAAGCCTTAGTCAATTACTTGATGCATGCCTAGTTACAATACGGGAGGGAAATAGTGACACTGGAAGTGACGGTGTTGATTGGGAACCCGACGACTCCAGTACAGACCCTTGAGCCCAAATAATCCATGAATAGATGCAGGATTTCTTGAAAAATAGGAATTCGATGTTTATTCGTATCAGACACGTGAGCAAGTATGCGAAAAATGCAATATTTATTTTCAAAAATATTTGATTTTACATCCCGATCATGACACATTGTACCATATTTTGGTTACTAGTCGAAAATTTATCAATAATAGGATTTTGTGGACAAAAATGCATGTCATGTTTATTGGGTCCCATGGGTATAATCGTGCGATTATGGATCCGTTTTCGCCAAAATTTATTTTTTCTCCCAGGGCGTCTCAGTAGTGGTTACGCCGCTACCAACTACATGTAAAAGTACGTTCAACGCGTAGCGAAACGTCGATTGTTGCGCTTCCAGTTTCTTTCTACACGTTGGTTATTGAACATACTTTTCTGACTGAGAAGAAGTACACAGTTCGAGTGCGTACATTGAGAAAACGTTCAAAGGGTATTACGAAATCCATAAACATCAGCCCTATAACATATAATGACAACTTTATTTATTTAGTCATATGTCACAAATAACATATAGACGAAGGCAAACCCACGACGTTGTTGGTCGCTCAGTTTTCTTTAGCTGATTTGAGCTTTGGTTTAGGTGGGCACTAAATTGAGAAGATACCGACAAACAGTCACATTAGAAGCACTTTCCACAACTGATCTGGATACAAGAACTTTTGTCGACAACGAAAATTTGAACTCGATTATTTAAGTATCGACTACGTACAAGTTATCGTGCCGGTCAAATGCCAAATCCCGCGGATATGATAGTTGAGCTGTGCCATTGTGTGATCCTTCTTCACCGACGACGAGACTACTTGATTTCGAGCCTCTGGATCAACCCATGAGTCGGTGATTAAGTAGCAGAGCTCCGTCCAGTCCAGTCCGAGTCCATGAAAAACAATTTTTTTAGTCCAGTCCAGTCCAGTCCATGGACTCTAGAAAAGCAGTACAGTATTCTTTCTTTATATACTATAAGAATAAAAAAATATAAAGAAAATACGGGAAAGCTTCAATATCGATTACTTTCAAACCGAAAAAACAGACTTTTCAATGTCAGTCACTTATATTTTGCGATATGAAAAAAGAGAAAATGGCCATT